GAATTCAGTCACGGTTTTGAGAAAATTCTACAAGAAGATTATCACATCGAATTATATACATTAGAATTTCGGGTACCCTCCAATAAATTTCCAGGACATCTTAAAGTAACAGCAAAGTTATCTATAAAAATATTGCTTAAATCGAGTAATATTTTCTTTGACCATATATATAAGTCACGTGGGTTGGCTACACAGTAGAGGTGTTAAAATATAATTGTTATACACCCTTTGTTAGCCATTGAAATAGTATTGAATGTATAAAGGACTTTCAAAAATGGTTATTATTCAGAGCGGGCGCTATGGTACAGTGGTAACACTGTCTGCCTACAAATCAAGGGGTCGTGAGTTCGAATCCCCGCTACTCCACTGAACGAATAAAAAGTCTACAAGACTGACAAAACCAGGACATCGACAGAATGACGGCAACGATAGATACAAGTGAAGACCTTAACGGAACAGGAAACAAGAACTGACAACAAGCGAGCAGAGACTAGGACCGATAACAGAAGAACAGAGACAGTGACCGATAACAGAAGAACTGACAACAAGCGAACATAGACAGGGACCGATAACAGAAGAACAGAGACAGGGACAATTAACAGAAGAACTGACAACAAGCGAACAGAGACGTGGACCAATAACAGAAGAACAGCGACAGTGACCGATAACAGAAGCACTGACAACATGCGAACAGTGACGTGGACCGATAACAGAAGAACAGAGACAGCTACCGATAACAGAAGAGCTGACAACAAGCGAACAGTGACGTGGACCAATAACAGAAGAATTGACAACAAGCGAACAGAGACAGGGACCGATAACAGAAGAACAGAGACAGGGACCGATAACAGAAGAACTGACAAGAAGCGAACAGCTAGAGACGTGGACCGATAACAGAAGAACAGAGACAGTGACCGATAACAGAAGAACTGACAACAAGCGAACAGACACAGGGACCGATAACAGAAGAACAGATACGGTGACCGATAACAGAAGAACTGACAACAAGCGAAAAGAGACATGGACCAATAACAGAAGAATTGACAACAAGCGAACAGAGACAGGGACCAATAACAGAAGAACTGACAACAAGCGAACAGAGACGTGGACCGATAACAGAAGAACAGAGACAGGGACCGATAACAGAAGAACTGACAACAAGCGAAGAGAGACGTGGACCGATAACAGAAGAACAAAGACAGTGACAGATACTTTTGTTTTTGTTATTTCATGACAATTATACCAAACTACATGTACTTTGTGTTAGGTAATTTCGGCGTTATTTTTTTCTAGACTTTACGTCATTTAAGTGTTATTTTCTTTTAAAGTACAAACTCCTTATAAATGTTTTATTGTTGTTCACTCACCTCACATGGAATAGTTGCGTTACTCTCAAAGTTAGAACTGTATCAAGAGAGTTAATTCAATAGAAAGAAAACAACAACAAAATAACAATGGTGCAGATATTAATATAGTTCTAATATTTTCATCCAAAGAAGGGGTAATTTCTTTTACAACATATCAAACCCTTTTGTTTTAGCTGGATTTCTAGTACATATGTACTTAAGATCTTTTGTTCAGCCTAATTTGTTTCGAAAATGTGGAATCAAAGCTGTGCAAGTCAGGGGTATAATACAAGGTGTTAATTTTCAGGTGTTTTTTTAAAATGCATCTGCTTTATCGTGAAAATAAGCAAACACAGAAGTTTGTTTAGTTTGTGTCTCCCGCTGAAGGCTTAATGCCTTTCGTTGATTTCTAAAACAAACTTTGTGCTTTATAAAAGTTATATAAAAACAAGTGTCCATTTATTCTAATGCTTTTCCCCCGCTCGTTTCCTCTAGGTCTTTTATTTGTATGTAAATATCATTTTGAACCTGTAATTTAAACTTCATTTATTCATGTATAAACATTTATGCTATACACACTAGTTGTGTTGATGTGTCCCTCTCCCTGCTTTTTTCCTCTAACCTTGACTATTTCATACTATCTAACAAATAAGTAAAACTTAAATGTGTTTGGCATTGAATCCAACAAGTTCTCGATTATTCCAAGAAATTGTAATTTTTTTTTAGATCGGATTATTTTCTTCCTTACGAAAATAAACGTATGAACTAAGGAATGAAAGTTTCTTTCATTAATGTCTATAGCAATGTACCTGGGGGATATAAATTACAATTTCCAACGACACGAGATATGTTTCTGGTATCATATTAATGCCAAACTTTGATTATATTATTGTTATATGTCAACATTTAATTTGAAAACGTGTTTAAGATGCCAGTCGTAGCAGGTGCGACATTTTAGTTATTTTTTATTTATTTATTAAAAAAACATCTTTATCGAAAGAGCACCGATCTTAAATTGCTCTTTTGCTAACAAGTAAAAAAGGTACTGTGAGTAATACTGAAATGCACAATATGTCAGATGTTTGCTCTATTTGGAAATTGTACAGTTACATACACAGATTTGACTTTTTCTTAACACGGTGTACTTATTAAAAAATCAATTCAACTTTTCTGCTCGATGTAAGCACGTGTCTTCACGTTACAAAAAGACAAAACGGATATAAAGATGAATATTGAACCATTGATATTAATATGAAAAATCAAATTAGAAAAACCGTACTTAAAGACACGTTATGAGACAAGAAAAATATTTTGTTTCGACTAATGATATGAAGTAATTTCATACCAGCAAAAACAGGACAAGATATGATTAACCCATTACGCGACATACACGCCTTTTAACGCCTTTTTCAACCCCCGCCCCCCTTATTGTCTCAAATGGTGAAAAATGCCTTATTTAGGCCCCAAACACTTGTTTTTGTTTGAGAAATGCTGTTTAAAAAAGTGACCACTTTTTCGGCGCGGCCCCCAACCAAAAGATACATCAGGGGGTTGTCAGAAGGGGGATGTGTCCCCTTCTGTTTGGGGGGGGTTGAAGGGGGCGGCAGTCCCCCTCATCGCCAAGAAAATTTTGGACTTGTGAGAGGCTAAAAATGATCCCAGATCGATCATAAGGTAACGTGTAACCAACGCTGAAAAGCGTTTGACTCAATCCATTGAGAAGTTGCAGCACTTTAAAATCCATTTTGATGGAAAAAACGAGTGGTTAAGGTCGCTGACTTCAAACCACTTGCTGTGGGTTCGAATCCCGACATGTGAGGAAGCTATCCAGCTAGCTTAAGGAACGTCGGTGGTTCTACTCAGGTGCCCGTTCGTGCCTGAAATGATGCACGGAGGGGCACCTGAGGTCTTCCTCCACCTGTAAAGCTAGAACGTCGCCAAATGACCTGACGTACCCCCCCCCCCCCCCCCAAAAAAAAACAAAAAAAAAAAACAACAACAACAAAAAAACAAAAAAAAAACAAAAACATGACACCAGTGATGTTTAGTTCCAGAAAGCGGATTCGAACAGTGATTCACACACAAGTTGCAAGACCTGTTTTCGTAGATACATGTATGTTTTAAAAAGTAATATGTTAATAAGATTTTTATAATGATATGTAAAGGCATATCGAAAGTGTTAAAATTTTCGTACCTCTTTTATGACATAAAATAGTCAAAATCTGAAGGTGATCCGGCTACTTAATGTGTTGCATATTAGATAGAAAGACTGTGTTCGTAAATACGTGTAGGATGGGAATCTTTAAATTAGCGATAACGGCAACGCGTTTTTAAAATTAAGTCATACCTGTGAAAAAATGATTAGTAGAGTCTTTCAAAATATTCACCATAGACCTCCACTAAGTATCCATTCCAAACAGCATTTTTGAACTTTCTTTTCTTTGAGTATTCACTAAAAGAGAGCGCTTCCGACGGGAACCGGCGATCACCAATGCAAGATTTGATGTATGGATTAAACCAAAAATCACACGAAGATAGGTCATGAATATATTAGCGGGATGAAGCAAAACCTCAATTCTCAGCTCCTCTAAATAAGCTTGAACCAAAGCTGACCGGTGCTCAGGTGTATCATCATGGAGTAATTTGATCCTGCGCATCCCGGACCATTAGTTTATGTAATAGTGAGAACATGGTCACGGTAAAATTTATTGACACTACCCCTCTCAGGCACAGCGACACGGGTCACTATTTCATTACTGTCAAGAAATAGTGTACATAACTTTGAACCCGCTCCCTTTTCTTGTCAAAAAATAGCAAATGCGTGATATAATGGGTGCACTTTTTCCTTAATTTTTACTTTTCTTCCAAATGGAAAACACATATGACGCACTAAGGCCCGATATGTCACTTATCTCCTCCACAGTATATCTTGCATATTTATCAATTATGGCTTTGACAGTGCTGATGTCTTTTTCAGAGGTAGCGGAAATTGGCGGTCCAGAGCGGGAATCATCTCTAACATTAGTTCTACCTTCCTTAAACATTGACACCCACTTGGCAATTGTACGATATGGAAGGGCATTTTCTACATAAACTAAATCTAGATAAGTTTTAATTTCTGAACTGCATTTACCCAATAATTCCACGAATTTTGCAACAAGCTCTCAAACCACAATGCAACTCAGCCATGCTAAAACCAGTATACTAAATCACATGTATTTAAATGACCTGTTCATAATTTTATTCAATATTGCATGTGCAAAAATACCGTTGGTTAGAAAAATCAATAATCTTTCCAACAATAAATTATACATGTACTTTCACATGCAAATCATGGTTAAATTGAGTGTTTGCCACTAATTAAAATACTAGTATGCCTCTTGTATACTTTGTTTTTACTCATTAATTCAACTCAAGTAGATAAATTGGCAGGATTGCTACAATACATATCACATTTATTTGAAGGATACCTGTCCAAACTTTCAGGTAAATTTATTGTTGATTTCAGACCACCATGTCTGGCTTGACTCTATTCACCTTCCATGTGCATTTTACATGATATTTCATTACTCTGTAAAATTATTCCTTTGTCATGCTCAATGCACAAGTGAATGAAGAAGATTTATACCACAAAGTGTTAAAGAAAAACACCAATGTGTGTACCTGAGTGTTTATTTAGAACATAATAATTATTTTACAAATAGCTGCAGAAAAGTATTTGCACTGGTATATCACAACTAGGTTCTAAAAACACCAGGAATGATAAAAATATCCTTATAAACATTGTAGAATTATCATTTTTAAACAATTTTTATTTTGTCGAATGACTCTATCTTTTATAAGAGGAAAATTGTATTTCCTCCCCTGTTGAAATATTTTCCCTTTATTGTGGAAATGCCATTACCTCCCCTGTTGAAATATTCTCCCTTTATTGTGAAAATGCCATTACCTCCCCTGTTGAAATATTCTCCCTTTATTGTGGAAATGCCATTACCTCCCCTGTTGAAATATTCTCCCTTTATTGTGAAAATGCCATTACCTCCCCTGTTGAAATATTTTCCCTTTAAATGTGGAAATGCCATTACCTCCCCTGTTGAAACATTCTCCCTTTATTGTGAAAATGCCATTACCTCCCCTGTTGAAACATTCTCCCTTTATTGTGGAAATGCCATTACCTCCCCTGTTGAAACATTCTCCCTTTATTGTGGAAATGCCATTACCTCCCCTTATAAAATATTCTCCCTTTAAATGTGGAAATGCCATCACCTGCCAATGCCATTACCTCCCCTGTCTCCTGTTGAAATTTAATGCAGAAATACCATTACCTCCCCTGTTGAAACATTCTCCCTTTAAATGCAGAGATCTCACTACCTCCAAACTCCCCTGGTGTAATTATCCTACACATTCCTGCTATCTTTAGGTCTAAACCATACAATATTTCCAATCAATTTACAGATACAAAGACAAAGCAACACAGTATAGTATAAATTCACTCACACAAGTCGCTCATTGTCACATTACAAGAAACGAAAACATAAAAATTTCAAAATAAAACTGATGAGAAAATGGGTTGATGCAATATTTATAATTAACTCAATAAAAACAATTTTGACCAAATAAACGCAAAATACAAGAACTGAATCTTTTATGCATCTTACAAACAAAAGGCTTCCGAAACATGAATCTGCTAGTTAAGGCCTCAAATAGTACTGAACATACTGAAGAAAACAAGTCAGAAAATCTTAATAATTTCCATGCTTCAAGGCAAAAACAACAACAACAAAAAGTGAGTCTAGTATTCATAAAAACAAATGTATCAGAAACATAATCGACAAAAAAGGCAGCAGATTAATAAAAACCCAAACAAACAAAAATGAAATCAGTTAGCAAAGCAATTATTTAACACTGATATATGTAGCAAAAATTATTCCTATTCCATAGTTGCATGCCTCCAGATGAGCCAAACTATTTCAAGAAAATCAAACTTGAGAAAATGTACAAAGATTTTTAGAAAAGTAAAAATATTCAAGATTCAAGGAATAATTTAAATGTTATATAAGCGATTTATGACTGATTTTGAAGTACATTTGTATTTACCACCATGCTAAAGCAACTTTATAAGAACTGTTTTTGCATATCTTGACCTCATTTTGGTAATTCAAGTAAAAAATTGAAGTGCTGTTTGCAATGTGTTAATTACTTTCTCTGCTCACCTCACAATATCTTACTTTAAAATACATTTTAAAAACTTTTTCATGAAATTACTACAAATCTGGAGGCATGCTGCTTTAACCATGGTAAGTCATTTAAGGTGCAGGAGAATGTTAGTTAATGACAGTACACGATGGCTACGTGTACATCATTTCTGCCATTGAGGACATCTTCTTTGGTATATGAACAAAGTCTTCAAAATAACCGGCCAGTTCGTCTACACTCATATCTTCGAGCTTGGCTTGCCGAGAACATCTCATTTCCTTACCACAATCACTAAAACTGTTTCTCGAGCAGACATTACTAGCCTCCGAGCTCGATGATTCTTCTCTTGACCTTTTTGCACTTGTTTGAGATCTGCGTGATTCTAATTTTATCTCTTTTGTTGGTTTCGATGACGACGAATCAGCAGATTTTCCAGACGCAAGTTTTCGAAAGTCAGTTCCTGCCACTATTTTTGATTTAGCACCGAAAAGAGGAAAACTAGGAGCACTAGAAAGCACAGGGCTGGTCAAAATAGAATGACCGCCAAATGTATGTTTAAAACTCGATTTACTATCAAGGAGTTTTCCATGCTTGAATATTTTTAACCTTGCAGCCCTGAGCAACTGCTTCGTATCTTTCTCTGAATGATGAAATTTAAGTTTCGCTTCTCGGATTAAAGGTCGGTGCTGCACCGAAGTTGATGCATAATTTAAGCCTTTACGAGACTTTAGTTTCAGCTCACTACACATACATGAACGTTTCTGACAAACTTCCGAGTGAAATGTAAGTTTTTCAGCCATTGAGCAGAGGAAGTCTTGAGGGTAAGGCTCCATTCTAGATTTACCGCAAGTTGCTTTCTTCATATGACGTTTCCCAGCCGTCTTTATTGGGACTGGTGAACCAGTGCTTACACCTGCATCCCTGTTAAACAAAATAGGATTTTCTTTGTAATCAACACAATGGAACAATCTTCAATTTGAAACTGATGAGATGTACTCAAGCAAACCATTCTTAAACTTAAATTAATATGACACTAATTTCAAAAATACTCATAGGGAAAAGATCTTTTGTTAAAATTTCATTTCTTGATTTTAATTAAAAAATGCTATTCTTGGTATCAACATTTCTATATCATTGTTCTAGTTCACTTAATCTATACAGATGCGGTTGTTTGGTTTTATGGCTCACCAACAGAGTAAATGTTGATTGGAGCAGAATCAGGAAAGACGATTTTGACTAATCTCTTGTGCTACATGAATTTACAACTAGTCAAATGACAAAATACTTTGAAAAATATTTTCAAAGGGACATAAAATGGTTAAATTTTATGTTGACCAAAATCCTAAGGGGTATCAGGGTACTTTTTATGTCCAAAAATCACTTTTACTAAGTTTAAGGGTTTGAGGCATGCATCATAAAATGGTATTACGGGCTTCCATTAGGTTTTAAAATTTGGAAGTCAGAAACTGCAAAATCTTACATTGGAAGTCACATTATATACATGTAGGTATAGACAGAAAAGCGCAACATTTTGGTAGTCACAAGTCAAAATAAAGAAGTAAATGACTCTTAAACTTTCACTTATGGTGTTCAGTTTCAAAGCTGTGTAAAACCTCAGGATCCAAACCAGTTATGTATTTTTATTGCCTTATAAGGTGAACATACATTAGTAAAATTATCATATCTCCATAAAAACATTTTCAAAAGAAAAATATAAAGTCAGTTAATTTGTTACCTTATCCACAAATCTCTCAGATTTTCAACATTTCCTTTTATAACACTTGGATTCCTAAAAAGACAAAATAATTTTTTTTGACGATCACATCCACTAACATAGTTAATATTTAAAGATAACAATGTAAGCCCCTTTGGTTAGGCAGCACTCAAATCATGTTTACATAAACATTTTTGCTTTAAAAAAGTTAAGTTCTATTTTCTTTACTCTTAAAAGAATATAAATTAATTTATTAATTCATATGGAACTCTTTTTCTTTCATATCAGACTGGCGTTTCCTAGAGTTTTACCCATGCCAGAAATTTCATCTGGCATGGGGGGTGCCAGATGAGTCGTGTGCCAAACAACAACGTCATTTTAGCGCGTTTTATGAATGAACCGCGTTAAAATAACGTCGTTTAAGAAGGGAAATATGTGCTAAGGATGACGCCATTTCGCGGTTGTTATTTAAGTTGTAAGTTCATACGCTATTGTTAGAAAATAGTTATGGATGAAATGACTTTAATTTCCATGAACATATATCATATTGAGGTAAAACATTTTAAATATGAAATAATATGGCAGAATATGCAAGAAAAAATATCTAACATATGTTTGCGGTTCGGATCGGAATATCCGTCCCTCGGGAACCCGCCCATGGGCGGGTCCCCTCGGGACGGATATTCCGGTCCGAACCGTAACATATGAAAGATATTATTAATACATAAAAAATTTTTAAAAGCAAACTTGCTATTTATCATTACTTCTATGGTAACAAATTTATGTCTTGATGTCAATAAAGAAATGAAAACAATTGCAGCAAAGAGTTTAAGTCAGGGCTGACTGCATCTTTGGCAAAATTGAAAACCAGTATTAAATGAAGAGCCTGGTTTTACTTCTGGCATAATAAATCATCTTCATTGCCATTCATGTTATGTCATTGACAGTACAACTTGTTCTGCACAAGAAGACTTTTAACCTTCATCTTTATGCCTCTAATACAGGTTTTTTTTTTCTTCATTTCAATAGCAAGAGCCATTTACAAGCATCTTCCTATAAAAAAATTCCTTACAAAAATATGCGTTTCTCTTAAAATTCCTTTTCATAGTTTCTCTTTCACTTTTGCAAAAAAAACAACAACACATTTTATGATTTTTTTTCCACTTAACCCAATCGCATAATGTGTGATAAAAGCACCGTAACAAAATGCCTATTTAACATTATGATAAAATAAGCTAATTCAGTAAGACAGAACTCTTTTTAATTTGACATTCGCATTATTTGTTAAAAACAATCTGAATTGGATGAAAAATAGCATCATTCTTCTTTAATCATCATGACATAATAACTTAAGCACTTGACTATAAAAATTACAAGTTCCATTCATCAACAGTATCTATATTAACAACAGCAAATAATAATAGTTATACAATACCATTCTGGATCCACTTTTAACTTCTTAAATGCATGGTGCAGTTGGGTGTCACTGCTGTCGTCCCTGGGGGAAGTTTCGCCACCCATTGCTGAATGTGGAAACTTGTAAGGGACCAACACAGCAACAATAATCTGAAATAAGCAAGGAGCAGTATCAGTATACCAGTTGAAAAAGCCATTAACTAGCTTTAAGTCATGACAACTTGCAAAAGAACAGTATTCTAAAATATATATTGTACTACTAATACAAAATACATCCACTCTTAGAAAAGAAAACATGATAATCAGATCTTTTTATATTTATTTATTTTCTAAATTTAATCCCGGAAATTCTGCTCTTTAGATCCTTTCTCTTACAATCATCCATTTCCTAGCATGGGTCAGTTTCACTCTATGGATAGTTCATCTCAGCCTTTTATAAACATGGCATTGTCGATTTGGTTAACCATTCACATGACTGACTTAAATTATCATTTCAAATCTACATCATACATTTTGCGTAATAGTATTTTGCTCAGTTCACATTTACAATGAGCCATGCATGATAAGAAAAATCCGATTGACAAGAAACTAAAGTTTCATTCGTTGCTTAGACTGGTATTGAGACCCAATAACGTAAAGTTGTATAACCAGTATTTGGTTCAAGTAACTCCATAATCGATAACCTGCAGTTACTTATTAAAAACAGAAAAATGACCATTAGTCACATTGTAATCTATTAATTCTTGCATATGTATTTGAATTTTCAATAAAAAATATTATAATATTCCACTACATGTATTATAAATAAATAATTCAACACAGATGAGTAAAGATTTTTGCAAACATGTCTCATCATTTCCTGCAAATATGTAAAAACAGATTGTACAAATACATGTATGTGCTTGTCGCTGGGGAAAAATGAATAGGAGTGGTATTGTGTCCTTGAGTATGGTATTACATGTAGGTAGTTCAGGTTTCTAGTGAGTGTCAGACTGTGATGGTCGACCCTCACAAGATTGTGTTGAATTTTATAGAATAGGGTAACAGAGCTGATGTTGCGCCTCTGCTCTAGAAATAGCCAATTATTATTAAGTTCACTTAACATTTTAGATACACTACTGGTGTAATTGTAGTCGTTGTATACATATCTGGCAGCTGACCTTTAAACTTGTTCTATTTTGTAAACAAGATATTTTTACTAAGGATGCCAAACCATGGAACAATATTCTAAATGGGGCCATATATAGGTTTTGTAGGCAGTTTCTTTGACCTCTTTGTTTAAAGTTTTGACATTACTTTTTATAAATCTGAGTGAATTGTTTGCTTTTGCTGTTATGTTGTTTATATGATTGGTCCAAGTTGTTTATATGATTGGTCCAAGATAAATCTTTACTAATTGTTACACCTAAATATTTTGCAACCTCAGTGGATTTTAGTTGTTAACCATGTAAATTATAAGGGAATGCTACTGGATGTTTTTTGTGGCTGATAAGCTACTGGATGTTTTTTGTGGCTGATACTAAGGACTTCACATTTATCTGGGTTAAATTCCATGGACCAATCAGATTCCCTTTTCAAGATTGTTGAGGTCTTTTTGGAGGGTTTGTGCATCTTGGGTTGATTTGATTGTTAGGTATACTATTGTATTGTCTGCAAATAGTCGAACCTTGCCCTTAACACTATCAGAGAGGACAGGTCATAATGACATTTATGTACTTTAAGATAAGAAAAGGCAAGGTCCCAAGACCGAGCCTTGGGGGGCAGCACGAAATACCCAAATATACCCAAATACTGCCCAAATATTGCCCAATTATACTAAAAATAAATGTTTTATACTAAAAAAGTGCTGTTTTAATCATGAATACAATATACACTTTCACTAATAAATATATTCAAACATACCCAAATATAATTTTTCCTATCATTGTGTTTTGAACCATTGAAGCTATTTTTTTAAATATCATGGACACTTGTATATGATATGAAATTTCAACGAAATTACACCTTAAAAAATGTAATTGTAGACAACAAATATCATATCTTGATTTAAAATTGAACCTAGATACAGTATAGTAGATAAGCAAATGTCACAACTTTATTTTCTTACAACATCTAAACTGCCCATTTCAACGGAATGAATGAAAGTCAGGGTTCTCACTAGGACTTTAAAACATGGAGTCCATGGACTCCCAACCCTGAAAAAGTTGGAGTCCATGCAAAAGCGTGTCGCAATTAATATGTTTACAGATTAGTCATTCAATGCTCACAATAGTATTGCTGATATTTTGAATCTTCAAGAGACTTCCAAAGTTTATAGTTATTCAAAAGAAACTCTGAACTACATAGTATAATTATTATTTTGTTGTTAATATTCATTATGAAATTATTTCATTATATACATCAACACATGGAAATCGTTTTTTTGTTGTTTTTTTCACTTTTATACCAAATCAAATTTTATTCTGGTTAAATAAGTCCACTCTAAAGATTTGTAAAAAAAACGTAAATGTATATAGGCAGCGTTTAGGGGAATGAATAGGAAAATCGTGTACAGCTTCACACAGTGTGTAACAGATTCATCCGGTCGACAATTATTTCAGCAAATATCTTCAAAAGGGGGCAAATTGAAGATCGATATTTAAAGATTTAATGTTGATTAAATAATAAAAGAACAATTCATTCGTATGTTAGGCTTGGAAACCGAGAATTTTTGCGGTTTCTGGCGAACGTGAAATCGCCGATGTTCGGGATCAATTTTCGGATAGAATCTAAATATCAAAGAAAAGAGTATGTGTATTTTGGTTTGTTGTCCTGGCATTTCGGCAAAATATCTTAAATTCTTAATACTCTTATAGAATTTTTTGCTGGGACATACGATTATCGTATATCCCAGGTTTCTGCAAGAATGAAACTAAAGCAAAATTGTGCCTAGAAAATGCCGAAAATATTCGACAATCATTCAAAATTACACTCGTTTGTAATTTGAGAAAACAGTCTTTAAACTTGCGGTGTAAATAGTCGATAATTTTATCCTTTTGTCGGTAAAATTTGCTAATTTCCAATCAACTGTTGATCAAAGATATAAAATTATCACCTCGTGTTATATCTGGTAATTACATGTACAGCGCGTGTAAACATTAGTCTGATCACTATTGCGTGATATTGATCGGAAGCGTTAGCGCTGATTGGCTAATCGCTTCACAGGTCGATGTGCATAGGACCGCCTACCAATGTTTATGTGTTTGAATTACATTTATGTCAAAAATAGCCAGATCTCAGTCTCTGCTATAAAAATAAATAAACCTGATCTTTGCTCTATACTGGTACCCACATCATATATACTTTTGACCTGACTCAGGACCAATTTTTTGTCTAATGAAATTTAAAACCTATTGAATAACTCTTCGGCGAATGTTCAAGGCCTCAAATAAGAATAGTGACAAAGCAAATCCATGGATGTGATGATGACGGATGACGCATTTCGCGGAAATTTAAACTTTTGTTTTAAAATTCGTCAAATAACAAAACCAGTGTGTTTTCCAGAGACTCACATAAGAGTGGTAAAGTGACTGTGTAAGTACCTGTCAGTAAAAACCACAACAAGTGTCGGTCAAAGTAGAGTTTACATAATGTTTTCTAAATTTCCTCAAAATATGTCAACAGTCCGCCATGTTGAAAATACAAATTGTGACGTAATCAATAGTAGATCTATTTTTAGAGTTTTAGTTTTTTTTTTCTTAATTTTCAAACTTTATAAACATTGATTAAATTGGGAACTAATTTATATAAAAATGAAAAATCGTATATGAATAATTAAGGTTCCAGATAATTAAAAAAAGTGAATAAAAAATGTATAACACAATTGATTCATTTTCTATTTTTCTCATTTAATCGAGTAAAAATCGACCAGGTTTTGGCGAACTTGTAACGATTAGCCACAATAACAATCTACACTGTAAAATCCTGGTGTCATTTTACTTAGGGAAAAATGTGCACCGTACGTCTGTTTAGTAACACCTGCGAGATTGTAGCAATATGAATATCAAGGGCGAATTGTAAAGGTGACCGAGGAGCAGGGGCCCCTAAGAAGATATATTTTTTGGTAAAGGGTCAACTCGGCCCTCTATTAAAAACCTAAATTAGGATATAGATTGTTAAGTTAATAAAAATTTTAAGGAGTAAATCACTATAGATTTTTTTCTCTAGATTAACAGACGTTTTGATGCATACCGAGTTCAATATTGGACAGAAAGTTATCCTCTGTCCAAGGTTCAATAAATTTGTTTGGGATTATTAGAAATTGAAGACATATTAAATGATTTATTCTTATTCTTTTTCGTGGGAAAAAAGTGTTGGCCCCGGTCACACACGACCAATAGGATGCCAATTAAGCCACCAATTTAAATGTGACAAATTTGATAAATTGTAGCGAGTCAGTTTCAACAACTTGACCCAAAATATAGTATGGATACTATATTTGATTAAAGAATTAGTTTAAATCACTCTGGAAACAATTATATTGATACTTTACTGTCTTTAAGTAAAATATGATGGTAAATTAAGCTTAAAATATAATGGTAAATTAATGTATATATTAAAGCAGCACGTCTCCAGATTCATGCTAATTTTCATGAAAATTTGAAAATGTAATTAACAGTATAATATTGTGAAGTTACCAAAAGAATGCAATTTACACATTATCAATGGCACTTACAACACATGTAAAATAACATAAAGAGGTCAAAAAATCCAAAAATAGCCCTTATTGCGGTAGTAACATAGTAGAAATATAGTCATAAATACTGAAAATTCGGTCATTGATCGCACATAAAATGTAAATTATTGCTAGAATTTTGAATCTTTATACGTTTCCTTTATCTTTGTACATTTTTCTCAGGTTTGATTTCATAAAAATAGTTCTGCTCATCTGGAGGCGTGCAGCTTTAAATATGAAAGTAAATTTAGAAATATGACATCTCGGTATGTTAATTAGGCTCTTTTTTAATTGTAAATAATCTCTATAATTGCAAAACAATGCCTAACATAACAAATGCAGACGATAATATTAATACTGGCAAAGTCGAAAAAAGTTTTCTCATTTATCATTTTAACCTTCCAGTGACGTTTTTGATCGAAGGATATGGTATACAATGATTTACATATAAATAATCTTATTTACAAATATCAATCCGGGTTTATTCCAGGGCATTCTACTGTATATCAATTAGTTGACATTTATCATCAAATATGTAAAGCATTTGATGAAAAGAAATCAACATGTATAATGTTCTGTGGTATCTCCAAAGCATTTGACCGTGTTTGACATAAAGGTCTACTGTTTATCCTGCATCAGTACGGCATTACAAATAATTTGAATACTTAGATTGCTAGCTATCTTAAGTCGAGGAACCAAAGCGTTTTTGTTGGTTATTCTTTATATGACACAAAATTCATAAATGCTGGTGTCCCTCAAGGATCTGTGCTTGGTCCTCTTCTCTTTTTGATTTCTGATTATCTAAATTATTCTTTATCATAGGAAAAATATTAAAGTCCTCTATATTAATAAATGTTACCTGTGTTATTGTTAAAGCATGCACTTAAAATGTGTATCAATGACATTTCTGAAAACTTACTTAGTTTGGCTCGTCTTTTTGCAGATGATAGTTCTTTATCAGTAACAAGCGATGATTCTAAATATATAGAAATGACTCTAAATATTGATCTTAAAACTGTTACTGAATGGGCAGACCAATGGCTTGTAACCTTTAATCCTAATAAGACAGAAGTATTATTTTGTTCTCTTATTAGAAATGAAAGACCTTTTTTGTACTTTAACAACACCACAGGCATTTGGGATTAACCTTAAGTGATTATGAAATTTGGCATGAACATATTAATAATATAAATAACTCGGCGTCCAAAATATTAGGTTCTATGCGTTTATTTAAGTTCAAATTAAATAGAACAACATTAAATCAAATTTATACTTCCTACATGAGGCCTTTAATTATTAGAATATGCTAGTGTTTTTTAAAATAGTTGTACCTTATAATAATTATGAAAAAGAAAAAAAAAGAAAAAAAAATGCAATACGAGGCTGAGCGCTTAGTAACTGGTTTGACTCGCTCAGTGTCTAAAGAAAGACTTTTGCACGAAATAGGTTGGGTCTCTTTAGCTAAAAGCTAAGAATGGGAAGCTTCCAAGTTATCTGGACACTCTGTTCCCAAATCTTGTATCAGAAAGTAACCAATATAACCTTAGAAATAACGATAATTACGTAACAATAGCACGACGAACAGAAATATTTTCTAGATCATTTATACTCTCAGCAATTTCGGCATGGAATAGTCTTGTTAATGATATACGTGACTAGCCTTCTTTAAATGTTTTCAAAACTAAACTTAATTGTAAATGCAAATCCACATTTGTCCCTAAATATTATTTAATTGGAGATAGATTAACATCTGTTTACCATGCACGTTTAAGAAATAGATGTAGAAATTTGAATGATGATCTGTATAGAAATCATTTAGCAAACTCCCCTGTTTGTGAGTTTTCAGTGTTGTTATATTTTCTGGTCCTTCGGGATCATTGATGCCAACACTATAAAGTGTTGAGAATTGAGTACCGCTCAAGCCGGTGCTAGGGGGCGTGAGGGATGTTGCACTTATTCATTATCCCTCATGTACAGACTCAATCAAACCGAGTATGCAATTCTTATGTTATTTTGTTGTGATTAATGCTTCCGAGGGATCACTTTGTTTCCGGAATTTTGTACTTCACAACAGCAGGTGTCAAGTGCCGTGTGGCAGCCGTAAAAAGTTGCCCCGTACTTCACTTCAGTGTTGTTATATTTTCTGGTCCTTCGGGATCATTGATGCCAATACTATAAAGTGTTGAGAATTGAGTACCGCTCAAGCCGGTGCTAGGGGCGTGAGGGATGTTGCACTTATTCATTATCCCTCATGTACAGACTCAATCAAACCGAGTCTGCAATTCTTATGTTATTTTGTTGTGATTAATGCTTCCGAGGGATCACTTTGTTTCCGGAATTTTGCCATATCGAGGAGGATGCTGAACATTTCTTTTTTAATTGTAAACTTTTTGGTGTTCAAAGACTCCAACTTTTCACTTCTACTCGCCCTTTTCATCCATCAAGTACAACTACTCTCCTCTATGGAAAAGAAAATTTATCAGACGAGGAAAACTCTTTTTTATTTCAATGAGGTTCAATATATATATAGTTCATGTAAAATTAACATTCGTTGTTGAATTTTAATTCTTCTAATTCCCCTTATAAATGATTTATATTGACAGCCATACAAACCATCACATACTGCAAGTGCAGGGAAAAAATTTCTTTAATATTTAAAAAATTGATTAGCAAATGTTTTTTTCTTCTTTTAAATTTAATGTCGAATTCTATTTGCTACTTTGGTTTTGTATCCGTCTTAATATTTGTAATTGCTCATGTGTATAGTGTTTAAACATGTTTTCGTTTCTATATCTTATAATGCTTAAGGGACAGTTACTAATGTTGCTAGAACTTGTTGTTCAACCCTTTTTCCCTTGGTTAAAAATGTTGTTTTGTGGAAATAATATTCTTAAATGGTATTCAAAAAGCAATAAAATATAAATAAACCGTACAATAATTTGATTTTTTAAATGATTTTGTTTTCTATACAGTACTTGTAATTTTTATTTTGGTTTTTATAACCAACGTCATGACAGATTTATAATGGTGAAATTTACGAACGTTAATGTGGTTCATTTCGAAGAGTAAAGGTTCATCAGATGCTTTCAGGTTATACTTAGACAGTTCATTTCATATGTAAACTAAATATGCATCGAGTAGCTTTAAATATTTTCATTAATGTATATGTGTATTTCTTATCCAATATGTTATGTTATGTACATGTTTATTTTACTCTCATATTTTCATGGTTGAATACACATCAGATACTGCTACTGATATATGCTCAAACAGCTTGCTGGACTTTGGATCAGTCGTATTAAGATGAAATTGATTCATCATTTTCATTTTACTTAAATTTTTTTCTTATTCTGATTATTAATTGGGTTAAGTATACATAAAATGGAATTCTAGTATGATGTAATATTCTGTTATGTTCGATTGTAGCGTGAAATTTGCTTGTAGTGTGTTATTTGCTTTTAATCAACTAATATTATCTTATCCATATTAATATGTGCTTATAAATCTCATTTGTTTTACAGATTACTCAAAAATGTACATTGATCTTCTTAATCCTTTATATATATATTTTTCTCCTTTTATACAGATTGTTTGTTCGATAGTCTGTTATGTTGGAAAATAGCTATCTATCTATTTATCTATCTCTGAATACTGCCAACCCCTTTCGCTTGTGTTATAGGCAGGAAATTGTGCGCGTCGGGTGTGTTAGTGAAAGGTGTGAGAGAAAGTAAAAACCTGAACATGATCAGGACAGTGAGAGACATTGAAAACTTCTAGTCATTGTTAAAATATTTTTATTAGTAAGGGTGAAAGAAAGATTTAAAAGTGAAAACACAACAAATCAACTAATACTTATCTTAACCACTGCCTGATTGTATTGGTCTAGATCAGGCAGGATGACAATGTTTTCCTTTAGTGCTTATGTTAACGTATGTTGTAAGCCCGACTTAACACAGGCGCTCAGTGGAGAACATTGTTCTGTAACCGTTACAGGCCCTCTTGATTTGTAGTGGGAGTGCACAATTTGTGGTGACGTTTACCACAATCGACGTCAGCATGAAGTCCACGAAGACTGTCTCCTAATTTTTCCTAAACTTTTCCATATTTTAGCTGATCATTACAATTTTAGATTTAAATTTTTACAGAATAGCAATGGAGTTGACAGAGGTAGTGTCACCTACTGTAGCGGTTCCAGTTTTATGCGTTTTAGTTTGTGCATTTTTGGTATTTGCGTTTGGCTTCAAATCGCCAGCTCAGCCTCCCAGTTTTGATGTGTTTGATGAAGATGGAAAGAAAAAGAGGGTGAAGAAGTCAAAGGTATGCATATAAAAACATCGTATTTGTTCAATAAATTTTACTGATTAGAATTAAATGCATAGCTCTTTGTAAGCACAATTAACCTAGTTTTTATTTTTTTTATTATGAATTACAACAGTTACAATATACACATTCACTAACAATAAGATAAAATCAAACATACCCAAATATACATTTTCCTATCATTGTGTTTTGAACCAAAATTAGGCAAAATATATTGACATGCCAAAGCTTGATTCTGAGACATTTTCGTTCTGGGGCAGAATCTCGCATTTTGTAGAGGCAAATATTGCCCAGACACGAAAATAGCACAAATTATCTCATCGCGCAGTACAATTAGTTGGACTAGAACCAAAATATACCCACAGTATAGGGCCTACTCCATTAAAGCTATATAAAATTAAAATGTACGATGGACACTTGTATGAAATTTGAACAAAGTTACACACCCCAAAAAAATAAATGTTTACAACAAATATTATCATATTTTTATTTTAAATTTGAAGTATATTCAGTAATGAACATCTACTGTAGGTAAGCAAATGTCACAAGTTTATTTTCTTGCAACATCTGAACTACCCATTTCAACGGAATGAATGAAAGTTATAGCCGTCTAAGTCATACAATCAACAATGTTATAAGTATTAATTCATTTTCTCAATATAATCTGTATCTTATACAAACAAAAATGAATATTGCTATATTTTGGTATAAATGGGCAATATTTGGGTATTTCGTGCCGCCATAATACAGTGCTCCATTCAGTACCATATCCTACCCTTACCATGGTAATTTGCATGTATAACATAGGCACTCGGTTCCAGAACTTTCTATGATTTTTAATTTATTTTTAAAAAAATTATAATTTATATATAAAATATTACAAGGTTTCGCAGCCGCCATGTTATAATGCAACGGAAGTGCATTGACTGGTTAACAATTTTTAGAAATTTTACTGGCTCCCCAGTGACTTTTAAAAAAATATTGTTGATGCGGGTACCACAGCCAAATAGTCAATAGCTGGCACATAATTTGTCACCTTAGTGCAGTAACGGGGTAACTCTTTATATAATTAAATAGGAATTAACCCGTTAGTCGTTACTGCTCTATGGTGATAATATATGTTTTTTGGGTAAACATTGTGTATTCCTTTTACCATAAAGCAGAAGATAATTATAATTTACAACTGATATGGTCAAATTATACTTTGTCTTATCTTATGGTTTAAAAGATGAACTACAGCACAGGGGACCGCAGCACAGTACATGTTTTCTCACTATTCTGAGACTACATCTAACTTGTGCTTTCTTTTATGCAATAGAATGTTTATGATAACTATGTGTTTGTTTTCTAAGTCCATGTCAAAATGAGATGACAAGTATTTTGGTGTTTTTATAATTTAAGGGCAGTAAAGGACAAAGTAACGGCCATGCAGTGACTGCTGGAGAAGGGGATGTAAACAATAGTGCCAAAGTTCAGTCATCTCCTCGCCAGACTGTCAAGCAGCAATCAAGTAAACCACAGGCAGCTGTAACAAAGAGCAAGACAGCCGCTCAACCTGCACAGGAAAATACTAAAAAGGTTTGTCACAAGATTGGTTTAATGTCAACAAGCCATTTATGTTTAGACATTCATATACAATTATACATGTAATTCTTCTTAAATGATTGTATTTTATTGGGACCTTAAAAAAGTTCATGTATACTGATCAAAACTTCTATAAAACTTTGTATAAACATTTTTTTCTTGTTTTCAAAAATGGAATTCTGGTATGGCTAGTAAAATTGCCATTTGCAAATTATAAATTAAAGGAATTCAGAGCTAGTATGACACATTCTGTTATCATAAGTCTCACAAGGTGAATCCATTTCTGTAAAGCTTAGATACATTTATTATTTATTTTATAATTTTAAAGGGAAAGAAGCAGGCTTTGAAGGAGGAAGAGCAAAAAGTTGTAAAGAAGTCAGCAGTAGAAGAAGGTACATTTGCATTATTTTAGTTAAAAGGACACCACTGAGGTTTTTTTTACATGTCAGGACTTGAAATAGTGTTCTACTTGATTTAGTTCTAGATCAAATTGTATGCAAAATTTTCTGAACATTCGCTCTCTCCATTTTTCCAGAATAATTATTTTAATTGTGTGAAATGACCAAAAATAGTAAAGCGTTGCAATGATTAACATGACATAAGTTCAGACAAACATTATTGTACAGTTTGTTACTTATTTTAATAATAACTTTAAATTTGTGATATTTTTTTAGATGAGTAGAAAGATAAAAAGAAAGGCCTGATTCCACTTGCTTTACCACTGCTCTTTTAAAGTATGTAATATTTTGAAATGCTCTTGTGAAAAAGATTTTGATTTATAGATTTCATTGGTGTAGAATTAAGATTAATGCTTTGAAAGAGGTAAAATGTGTATCTAATCTTAGCTGCATATATTTTTCATATGGGGCATCCATGGCAAAGTGGTTAAAGTTGTTGACTTTAAGACACTTGCTCTTCTGTTAATTGAAAAGTTTTTGATATTTTTATCTTTAGATGTTAATGATGTTGATGGTTGGCATACAGTCCCAAAGAAAGACAAGAAGCAAAAGAAGAAGGAGAATGAATCCAAACAGGAGAGACAGGACTCTCCAGTGAAGGAGGAAGAAATAGTGGTGAAGGTTGAGGAACCAGTATTAGCCGCATCTAGTGCTAACAAGACTGAAGAAACTCCTGGTTCCCCACAAGAACAGAGGAACAAGAAGAAGAAGGAGAGAAAAAATAAAAAAGTACATTGAAATTCATTACCTCACTAGTATTTACAACAAAGTTGTAAGGGGGGTATACTGGAATCAGCTTGTCCGTCCGGCTGTCCGGCCGTCCGTCGGTTTTTTCTTGTCCGCCCAATAACTTAAGATTCCTTTGACCCTTTGTCTTCATATTTGGCATGGAGGTTAGTCATGATTAGTAGATGACCCCTATTGATTTTGAGGTCACTAGGTCAAAGGTCACAGGGGCCTTGACTTCAAAAAGCTTGTCCGCCCAATAACATAAGATTCCTTTGACCTACAGTCGTCATATTTGGCATGGAGGTTAGTCATGATTAGTAGATGACCCCTATTAATTTTGAGGTCACCAGGTCAAAGGTCAAGGTCACAGGGGCCTTGACTTCAAAAAGCTTGTCCGCCCAATAACTTAAGATTCCTTTGACCCATAGTCTTCATATTTGGCATTGAGGTTAGTCATGATTAGTAGATGACCCTTATTGATTTTGAGGTCACCAGGTCAAAGGTCAAGGTCACAGGGGCCTTGACTTCAAAAAGCTTGTCCGCCCAATAACTTAAGATTCCTTTGACCCACCCTCTATGTTAAAAAGAAATATAATTGATCAAAGCCAATAATGCCAAGGGTTAGATTCTCATTTTGGTAGGCAAAAAGTTACTATTGTTAAGATTCCTTCAAAAACTTGTATATACCTATTGTCGCCTTAGTGGCAATAACGGAATAAGCCCTTCTAAATTTAATCAGTAATTTCACTTAGGTGACAATTATGTCCATTTCTAAAAAATGTCAAAAATGTTTCATATTTAATGCTTACTAATGTGTTCTGAATAAAGAAATGACTTTAGCTCAGTGAAAGATTTGAATGCTTCATGGAGAATACTCTATCCTTAAAGGCACAGCTTTAGAAATGTATAACATTTTTACTTCTCAATGTCAAACACAAATTTTGTAATGTTTAAATAATGGTTTTAGAGCATGTTAGAGGCTAATTATCAGAAGAAAGTAGCGCTAGATTGAAATTATTTGTCATAAAAGTAGCAAAATGTAAAGAAAGTAGTATTTTGACTTCCAATCACTGTAACTGTACTAATTGCCAAAAAGCATTACAAGAAAAAGGTAATTCTGGTAATTAGCCAGTGAGTAACTTTTGAAACTTTATAAGTACACCAAAAATAAAAAGCTGTTGGTACATAACAATTCAAGCATTTCTTGGGCATAATGGGACTTTAAAAGTTCACTGTGGGATTTTAATAATTCTCTTTTTTATTCAGACAAAAGCGGAAGAGGAAGTTGTGGAACAGACAAAGGTTGAGGCACAGATTGTAAAAGAGGTAGCACCAGTTGTCACACCTGAACCAGTAGTCATTGACACTAATATTGAAATGCAAATAAAGGTATGCATGTTGTAAACTATATGTTGTATTTATAATGTCATCAGAACATTCACTATTGAATATTTCAATACTTTTCTTTGTGTGTGTGCATAGTATATTACATGTATATTGCAGAGGAAGTCAATTTATTAAATTTACCTTGTAAACCAAAATTTTACCCGCTTTGATAACAGAGTAGGATAAATTTCTGCATAATTTTTTTTTAATAAAAAAAGTTAAATTAAAAGTGATTTCTATTGATAATGTCATAGTCTAGGCTGAATCACTTCATTTGTAAACACAAGATTTGCTCATGAAATTGCATTAAAATAGATAGATATCTGGAGCTGTATAAGTATGAACAGTGTAAAGTTAAAGATATACTGTGCTCAAATTTGATATTAGAAAGTACTGATAATTGCTACACTGTCTCTTTGTGATTATAAAATAAATATGTTCTGACTTCACTGTTTGTTAAAAATTCTACATTCATGTACCATAGATGGTCACAATAATTGTGAAGGTATAGTGTCATTAAAAAAAAATTGACAGTATTTTTTTTCCACTTAATCTGTAATAGGGAACACAGCTTCCCATGCTTAATTTTATCTTTCTTTTATTCAAATGGGACTTGTACAGTAAGAAAATAAATTTTTGTGAGTAAAATATTTTACTCAATGATAAGCATACTCAGCATAGTATATCTTTAAATTGAGTTTTGGCTTAAATATTTTAAGGATGCCATGGAAACGACTGTTAACAATGATGAAGTTACTGTAGAGAAGAAGAAAAAAAGTAAGAAAGATAAGAAGAAGGCGCTAGAAGATGATTTTGTGATTCCTCAGCCTGCCAGCATTGTAGCGGAACCAGTCCAAGATCTTCCTTTAACAGAGAACACAGACGCTTTAACTGTAAAAGTAGCTAAAAAGAAACAGAAAAAAGATCGAAATAAAAAGAGTGAAGAGGTAATACATAAATAAAGTAATGTACAACATAAAAGAATTTGGTTGCTACCTCTGAGAGGGTTGTGCTAGACAGGTTAAATCTATTGTGAAGTCTTACTTACGGGGTATTGTCATGACTGTTGTAAAGAGGTCTTTGCTGTAGAGAGGGTCGCTCTGCAGAAGTTGTAATGTATTCCATGAAATAATTTTTCTAATAAATCTTATAACTTTATTGTTGATGATGACCAAATTTATTTTATTTAATCTTAACTGTTCCAGTTCTGTGTAATGGGCTTGCCCACCTTGAAATTTGGGACAGTTCATTGTTAGCTTTAGGAGTTTTAATATTAAAATTATGAAAAAAATTTAAGCAGCAAACAGTATAGAATCTGGTTAGGTTATGCAGAAAGTCAGGATGGACCAACATTTTGCTGATGAAATAAGCAAGACATTGTTGCTGCCTGTGTTAATAGTGTTGAAAAGAAAGGAAGATAGTTTGAACAATTAAGATTAGCTTGATCATTTTCGAATTTCATTAAAATTGGAATGTAGTCTTATAGATTGATTAACGTTTGAGTTTGATTGTGATTAAAGTTTAAAACTTATTTGCATTATTCACATGTCAGCTTCCTAGATGTTGTATAAGAACCATGGTCATGGTGACCAAGGTGGGGCTCTATTCATTGATCCCTTAGTTGAGTGGCAGACACCTTATCCATTTGGCCTCCGCTTTCTTTGATAAGTGATTATATCTTTGTCATTTATTGGCCAATGGTATAAATTTTGATTTTTGTGTAATGTATGTTTAATTTGTAAATATTTAAATATTACAGAAATTACCGGAGAGTTTAGAGATAGGTGCTAGTGGTGAACTGGAATCTAGTCTTTCACAATCTTCTGTCTCTAATACACAACCAAAGAAAACCAAACTCAAAGGTTTGTTCTTATTTTGTTATACGTTAATAGGAGAAATTTTCATTTTTTTCTCTTTGAATTTTTAATTCATTATTCTGTAAATGTTTTCTAAATGAATACATTAGGCAGTCACAGGAACAAATCTTTTCTCATTATAAAGTATAAATAATGGTTTTCTAACCTGACCCACGTGGGTCAGGTTAGAGCGTTAAGATTTCACAATAGTTGTCATGGTGAACTTTGTAAACATTAAAGAACATGCTAAATGAATAACTCAAATGAATAACTGCAGAGTTTGTTCAATTCACAAAACTTGTTTTAAAATTACTCGGTGATTCTGTGGTCTTCTGAATTTCATTCAACATACATAAATATATATATGTACTATTGTACTTAAAATACCTTAAAATATCATTACAGAAACTGTAAAAGAAGTTCCTGTAGTGATAGAAACGAGCATTGAGGCCGGGGCCTCGTCTGACACAGCCATCCCAGGGCAGCCTTCAGCATCTTTT